CTGGGATATGTGGGTCTTGCCCTATGCGAGAAGGGGAGCGGGTCCTTCAGCCCCACTCGGGAGAGGAGGCAGAGCTGGGACGCTGGTTTGGGTGGGGGTGAGAGTCTGGGCTCTTGGGTCACTGGCAGGGGGGGAGGCAAAATGTCTGGGTTCGTTTCCAGTGTCTTTGCTGAATCATTGTGATCCTGGGGAGAGTTCTTCCACCATGAGCTCTCTGGCTGCTCTGTGATGGAAACCAGCTTTTCCTGGCTCCTGCTGCAGGCCTGGGCCCCTCTCTGGCCTGGGCTTGCAGGAAGGATTTCTGCCCTTACCTTGCTGTTGCTTCTTGGTCCATGCACATGCTGAGCCCTGTTGGTGTGTGCAGGGAGGCTCAGTGTTTCTCACACCTGCCTTCCTTCAGAACTGGCTGCAGACACATTTGCACACACAGACAACTACCAGTTAGTTTTACAGAAGCAACATACGTGGGCAAAACCCAACTGTTGTCAGGGTTCCTTCAGCAGCACAGGGCCAGCAGGACCATGCTAGATACAAGTGTCTTCTTTTGGCTCTCGTGAGAGGATGGCCAAAGTAATACTGTGATGTGGACATTTCAAACAAGCAGCAGTTAAAATAAAAGTTTGGAACCTGGACTTAAACCAGGATGTTGTAGAGCTCCTCAGGGCAGGGAAGAGAACTTCAGGAGCTTGGAATTTATAGCAATTAGACATAAAGGAGTGAAAATGCTGAATGGCTGGTGTGAATGTTTTTCCCTCCTGCCTGAGGTGAAGTCTCAGTATTAGCAAAAAGTAACTGAAGAAATGGAAGGACTAGGTTAATAAGCTGTATTAGTCATGATAAACTTGACATGTGTAGAAAGTGATGGATGCTTTCCTTGGTGAAGCTGCTTTGCTGAATTCCCAGAAGATTCAGTAACTGGTTGTTTTAAGAGCTTGCCTCCTCCTCCTCCCTCCCTTGGTTAGGGCAGCACAGCGCTGGGTCCACGTGCATGTGCTCTGCAGGCTGTCGTCTGGCTGTGCAGTTTGGTGGAGTACAGTCATCACTGGTGCTAGCTTAGTTTTTGTCAGTTCAGATGAGTCACAGATAATGATTTACAATAAAAACTTGCCTTTCAAGTGTTGCGACTGGCTGGGGAACAGAGAGGTTGTCCATGTACAGCATAGCTGTGCTCAGTTTCCTTTTCTTGTCTTTGGAGATTGCAGTGTGAGAGGCAGGGAGCTCACTAAGTGGGTGAGAAGCTTGAAATACCAAGTATATTTATATGTATAAGCAGAGTCCTAACTTTGCTCTTTTTAATTTTTAAGATTCCTGTCAACTCTGTATTGACCTGGAAATCTCAGGTAACTGTTGAGGTTGGGCAGTTTGTGCGGAGCTTAAACAGGTTGTGTTGTAATACTGATACCAAAATGTCCATTGAAGGTTGGTGCTACAAGTAAATCCTTTCCTTCTTTTATTGGAAAAACTAGATGGAAAGCATTCAGAGAAGTCAGGTGGTGTGTGCCTCTTGACTTGTAACTGGTAGGTGTATTTCTGCTGCTCCTTCAGGTACCTGCATGTGACAGCAGTGCAGGGGTTTTCTCCAGGTGCAGTCTGCTGCCATCCCCTTGCCTGTCCTGAGCCTCTGTGTGTGTCTGTGTTCACAGACACAGATATTCAGCTGACTCTCATTTGCTTTCTCTGAATTTCAGCTTGCAAAATGGTTGCACCTTCGCAGCTCTGTTCTGGGAGAAGCCCTGCTGAAGTTTATAGGCTACCTGTTGCAGTAGTGTTGCTGGTAAATAGCCTTGTGGTCCTCTGAGTCATAATATATGAAATAAGAGTGGGCATTTTATAAATGCAGGTATCCAATTTGGTGTAATCAGTATAAAATGATGACTTGAGTGCTTTTCTTCAAAGGTACTTGCTTCTCAGTGTGCCTTTCTCGTTGTGGATGTGCTTGGTGCTGGGCTATGGCAGCAGCTGTGATGACCACGTTCATGCTGTCTGTCTTCTCCCTGCTCGCAGGAGCAGCTTAACAAAAGCAGGACTGTGGTTTGACACAGTTGGTGCACTTCTGCTCTCACCAAAGGGTGAAATCCTGTTTGGCTTACGTGCTGTCAGCAGTTTGTCTGGCTGAATTTAATCTTAAATGAGTATTTGTTACGGGTATTAAAGGCTTGGGGTGTGACTGCGTGTCGTCTGTTACCTGCTCTCTGGGCACAAGTAGCCACGTTAGCGAGACTGTCCCTGGGTGCGTGTGGTGTTGTGTGACACGGGGACAAGAGCTGGCGTGAGGCTGCCCATCCCGGGGTGTGGATGGAGTGAGTGTCTGCCCACCCCCACTGATGCATCACTGTATTTCATTCAGGAAGAATTTAAAGCATCGTTGAAAGAGTTTATGTCATAGGGTGTATGTCCCCACCCTTGTTGTGAGATGGTTTGCTAGTCCTTATCTCAGGTTGTACCTGAGCAGAGCTATCTTTCCTGTGAAGTTGTCTAGAAATTCCGAGCTCCCAGGCTGATGAGGGAAGCAGTGGGTAATTGTGATCACACGTGGGCATTTTAGGATGGCCTCCTGGTGTCATCCCTTCGCCTCATGCGTCCCGCTCCGGCGCTGGCTCTGCCAGGAAGGTTGATGCGTGCCTGGTGATTCTGGGTCCTTACACAAAGGTCGGTGAGACTCCTTGATGCCACTTGTATGTTGAGGGCTGGGTTTGTTTCAGCTAATTGCTCTTGTAAATTATTCACTACGGTGTTACATAGCAGTGCTGTGATCAAAGATGAGTTCATGCCCCTGTACAGACAGGCAGTGTCATCTGTTTCTTTCCCTGATAAAGTCTTGATTCCTCTGTAGTGTGGACTGAGATGCTGACCAAAATAACATAAATCTGTCCATGAGTTTAAATAACTCTGATGGACATCTGTCTTTCTTTGAAATATTCTGAATTTATAATTCCAGTTAATTTCATTAAGACTGCAGATCTCTTCTGTCATGATTGCTGGTAAAGTTTCTGTCTGGCTGCATCATTGCACTTTCAAGTAAATATTTTCCTTGAATATCAGAAACCTGCGCCAGTCTCTCTTATGGTTTAAATGCATCCACATGTTATACTGGTGTTGAACTTGACCAGAACAGCACCTGTTAAGTGCTGGAATTTAAAATGGCTGGGCTGTTGATAAGAGTTAATGAGCTGTGCTTGAATGACAGTTCCAAATAAAGAAAACCTGAATGAATTAACGTCTTGATTTCTAAGCAGTTAAAAAAATAAATAAAACATTCCAGAGGCTGGCAGAAGAGCTGGCATTCCAGGTTTGTCTGCTGGTGGGGGGGGTGTGCTTTAGGGTACTTTCTTGAGGCATACTCTGTCTTTAATTTGTGAAAATAGGATCCTGGTATGACTAGTTCTGTATCTTAGTATTCCTGAATCTTCTGTTGTCTGACCTCATGATTTTCGTATGCTGCTGTGGTTTGTCTGCTCTTAAATACAGCTGAGATGCAGCTGAGGCTGTGCTCGTGCTGCCGGCCCCCGAAGGTCTGACCTGCTGGACGCTGTTGTGCCCAGGCTGTGGGTTTGGGCAGGGTACCAGAGCCCAGAGAGGTGGGATGTGCTGCCTTGTTCTGTGGTGAATGAGACCAACCTCATTTGCTAGGAATGAGAAGGGCAAGTGATCTTTGTGGTTGGGAATTAACGGTGAACCCTCAGTTGTTTGGGGATGTAGGGCTCTGGCTTGGCTGCATCTTTGTGCTGCTTTTAGCTGGGTGACTGTGTGTTAAACTTTGCTAGTAAAGAGAATGGGAGCAGAAGTCTTGGTAACTGTGTGGTCTTTGAGATGTAAAAATAAACAAAGCTGAGAAGCTGTACCCTACTTAAAACAGACTGACCTAAATTTTCAGCAATTCTAGCGAAGAGACAGGCTAGATGAGGGCTTGCAGATGACTGGCTTCCCTCTCCATGCATTGCTTGACATGGTCAACAGGCCACCTTTGGGAAATCTCCGCTGGTGTCTGGGGTCATTGCTTCCCCCACCTTGAGTTGCACAACTCGGGCTGTGGCTTTCCCTTGCTGCACTCGTGCGGAGAAAGTCCCCTTGTTCTGCAAGTCAGCAGTTCAGCGTCTTCTGGGAAGTTACGGCGTGAACCACTTCTCAAATTCCTTTTGTTGGAGTGTTGTTGAAAACATGTTTGATGTCCTCTGGCTTGTCCCTAAAGAGATTTCTGTTGAGTGTGTGGATGTGTCTGTGAAGTCCATTCACGCTCTCTGTAGGTGAATGTTCTGCTATCAGTTGCAGTTCCCTACTACTGAATTATTAATTCTGCAGTGAGATTTTTTTTTCCCCTTCTTACTGTTCATTGACTTTCGTGGTTGATTTATTCTTCTGCACAGTTTGAAACTGGAGCATGGGAATTTTGAGCAATATTAACAGATCACATGTATGACCTCAATGGTGGCTAAAGAAACTTTTTTGTAATTGGGAAAAGGACATTTGTCTTTCAAATTCCTCACAGTTTCCCAGGTGAGAGGTAGTCTGTTTGTGAATGTACCTTATCCACAGAGGCACATTGCTTGTTATTTAAAAATCCAGGGATGGCCAGACAGCTGGTGGAGTGATTACCCGTGTGCTCTGGAGGCAGCGCTGTGGGTAGTGTGAAGGGAGAAGGAGGGAAAAGCTCGTGGAGATTCTCCTGCTAATGTGGCTTTGTAGCTGGACGCTCTCCTGGCAGAGGGCCTGCCTCTGATTAGAGAGCGTTCCCCTCGGTTGTTCTTGTAGGTACTGATGATCTGCTGTGTTTTGCTCTTTGTTTGTGTTTTTGTGTGTGCTTTTTCCTGCAGGGAGATAAGAAGAGGTGAATTGCGTATCCTTTCAGCAGCCTCCTGTTAAACTTGGAATACCGCAGTTCAGGCGATTGAACAGATGGATAATGGAGACTGGGGATATATGGTGAGTGAGCCTGTGTAAGCCTGCGCTCTGTGGTACAACTGGGTTTTCAAGATCCTGCGGTAAGAATCTTTCCAGATCTGTCTTGTGTAGATCCAGAGCTTCAGTCACGTGAGAAGAAAAACTGTGCATGTTACGACAGCTTGCTTACGTTCTCTGGAGTTCTTCACCTCACGTGCTATTTGTGGGGAGAGCTCAGATTCGTATTTCCAAGGTACAACCAGTGAGTGCTTAACTGACGCCTTAAACTCGCTGTTACCATTTTCCTAACGCACGAAGGATGCACATAGTTTGTGCTTCCTTCATGTAATTTTAAGGGCTTTGTCATTTTATATATAAAGAAAAATATTTTTCCATGTAAACCCTATTTCAAACTAGACAAATGCATTTTATTTTTCTCCTCTTCCTTTTCTCTAAACATTCTGCTGCCATGCATATGTCTCTTTTCTCTGTCTGGCCTCAGTCCTGATTGTTAGGGTTGGTGGCCAGATGGGATTTATGTTCCCTTCTCTCTTGCTTCCTCGTGTGCTATCTGGAAGCTGATGCAGACTAGTTTGTGCTCTGCCTCCTTCTTCTATGCAGCATGCTAATTTGATAATAAATATTTCTTTTTAGATTTAAAAGCTGAAAGTTCTTTTTTGTTTGCTTCTTTTAACGATGCCTCTTAACCAGTGCATGGATTATTTTGATTGTGAGCTCTTGGTCCTGTGTCTAAACTTGCACTGTCATCCTCTTTGGAGGGAGAGAGGCTTAAGACATTCAGCTGATTTTTTGTTTTTCTTCTTTCTTCTTGTTTTTTTTTTTTTTTTTTTGTTCTAGAATGAGTTACAGATTGTGAAAGTAAGGAGCACTAATGGGCCTCCTTCAGATTAACTTGTTCTTCAGGAAATCTCACTGTTCTCATTTCCCCATCTGTAGAATAGGAAAAAAAAACTTGTTGCCCAAATGCAAACTTACTTCTGTGGCAGTAGCTCAGTTGTTAAGATTTCTGAAGCGTTCTGGAAACGTGCATTCTGAATGTTAAGTATCATCCTGTCTGGTTGCCAGTTGTGCCTCGTTGCTAGGTGGCTTGGAATTGTTCGGGTTTAAACACCCCTTAAATGCTTCGAATGGGAGAAGTGTGATTCTCTCCAGAGCCTGCAGTTCTCAAACAGTCTTTGCCATGTGTGTCAGTGAGGTGATTGAATCTTCTTGCGGTGGCTTGATAAACTCTGCAATTTCTCTCTTTCTAGATGACTGATCCAGTCACGCTAAATGTGGGTGGACACATGTATACGACATCCCTCACAACTCTAACGAGATATCCTGACTCAATGCTTGGGGCCATGTTCAGGGGAGACTTCCCCACTGCCAGGGACTCTCAGGGCAATTACTTTATTGACAGAGATGGACCACTTTTCCGTTATGTTCTTAACTTTTTAAGGACCTCAGAGCTCACTTTGCCTTTGGACTTCAAGGAGTTCGACCTACTTCGGAAGGAAGCGGACTTCTATCAGATTGAACCGCTAATTCAGTGTCTTAATGACCCCAAGCCGCTGTATCCCGTGGATACCTTTGAGGAGGTGGTGGAGCTGTCCAGCACCCGGAAGCTTTCCAAGTACTCCAACCCAGTGGCTGTGATCATCACGCAGCTCACTATCACCACAAAAGTCCATTCGCTACTGGAAGGCATTTCAAACCACTTCACAAAGTGGAATAAGCATATGATGGACACCAGGGACTGCCAGGTTTCCTTCACTTTTGGGCCATGCGATTACCACCAGGAAGTGTCGCTCCGAGTCCACCTGATGGAGTACATCACAAAGCAAGGCTTCACGATCAGGAATACCAGGGTTCATCATATGAGTGAGCGTGCCAATGAAAACACAGTGGAGCATAACTGGACTTTCTGTAGACTGGCACGGAAAACAGATGACTGATTCTGACTCCACAGGAGCCACTTCAGTGATTAGCAACTTAATCGGACAGTAAAACCCGAGAGAGTCTGGATTTTGACTAAAGCAACAATGTGGGCTTTTTTTATATGACTATTTATTGTTTATCAGCAAGGACTGGAGGAGTTTCATTCTCTAGCAGCTCTGTCCTTTTGTCCTGTTCAGAAAAAAAACATGCATGTGCCTGTTCAGTCAAGACACCTTTTTGTTTGAAAGAGGGAGTCCTTAAGAATTAGTACAATAGGGTATTTTGTGTCATTAACACAATTCTCTGACACAACTTAAAGTGCTAAAATTACCTCTGTTTAAGTGGTTTCTAATCCATCTAATGCTACGATACTGGGAGCAAGAAACAAACAGAATATAAGATGCAGTTGGGGAAAAGCTGCTATCATGTAGACTAATTTAGTTTCTAAATCAATAAACAGTATTGTAATACTCTAGGAAAACAAATCCCACCCTTTAAAAGTACTTGATAAGTACAGTTTCTTACAGTTATGACAACTGTTTCTTTCTATGCATATAAATCAAGCAACCAAATATTATCTGTAGCCATGGAAATATGATTAGAAATATTTATATTGGATTCTAAATGCAAAACGTCCCTGTGGTAGAGTTCATATTTTTAATGCCTGGTGCAATATTATTCCCAAGTGTAATGCCTGCCAGCAAGAAGCTAATAAAAATGTGAAATACAAAATACCATTTTGGTGGTTTTTTGTTTTGTTTTGTTTTTTTTGTCTTCTAGAACTCTAACACTTTAAAAAAAACCCCAAACAAAAAAACCCACCCAAAACCTGTTTTTCCATTCTGCAAGAGTAGTTCAGATGCTCTGGTAGGGCTCTGTTCCCTTCCATTACTGATGTACTTTGTTCCTTTTTGACTTAATCAGTTGATTCAGCTGTCCTCGTTACAGTAAAATCTTGTGTTTTGAGAGCTGCATTGTGACTAACAAAAAGATGGCAAGTATTTTTGCTGGCTAAAGGAGCAGGGATGGAGGGAGCACAGAGCCCAAAGACTTGTACCCACGCAGTAGCATCGTCTGGTTTGTCAGTGATTTATCTAGTGACTTTATATGTATAATTTAACTGTACTGTGCTGTTTCTGATGATGTTCAAGTCCAGGTGCTCAAGTTCTGTGTTTCTACTCGATTTTCATTAGCCTTTTCTGCTTATCTTGGGCACTTTGTCGTAGTTGTTAATAGAATTTCTGGTTATACTCTTAACTTGAACGCTGTTGGGAGTAAGAGAGTTGATGGCCATTCTGATGAATGGATCACATTCTCCCGTGAAGTTCTTGTCACAAGTGTTCTTTGTCACAACTGCTTTGCTCTCTGGGCTGTGCAGATCACAGCTCTCTGGGGATGTAAGAGAAGGTCTGGATTTCTATAGTAGTTGCTTATTCTTGAAGGTGGGAGCTTTCCAACCCATCTCTCACTCAGAAGTCCTGTCTCAGGGGTGCATTTGTCATATTTTATCTCCCCCTCTTCATACATTGTAGGGGTTTTGACTTTTGTAGTAAGAGGCAGTAAGAGCTTCATTCTTCCTATAAGGAGGAGGAGAAAAGCTGAACTGATGAAGCTCAGGAAAAATGGTTGTTTCCTTCCTGCAACACGTGGTAAGAAATATCTGTGTTAACTGGCATTGAATTATAATCACAAGATGTTCTTTGCAACACTTCATTTACTGGCAAATTAATGACTGGCCTGGATCAGCTTGCCCTTTCCATAATTATGAAGTATAATAATTAGAGAAGCAGTATTCCAAATAATACACTTTATTGGAGCCCAAGATTTATAGAAAGGCGGTATGAGCAGCTCTGTTAATGGGAACATAAATTCTGCAAACTGGACGTGGCATCAGTTTTGTCTGAATCTTCATTAGCCAGGAAAACTCCACTGCTGAGCAAGTTAAGAGTTATTTTAGTTGTCCAAACCAATGTACTTTCTAATATACTTCTTGATCTAACAGAGCAAATTGTTCCTAGAAACTAAGGACCATAATTTTACATTCCTTGGGTTTTTCAGTAAAGTGGGCTTTTTTTGTTGAGTTTTGTTTTGAAGGCACTGTACAGTTATAATTCACCGAGGGAGAGCTCATAATCTGATTTTTTTTTTTTCCTTAATTGTTGTATAGTGGGTTTAGAAAAAGAATAAGAAAACCAAATGGCATCATTTTGAAGCTATCAGGATGCTTCAGGTTAGAAAACAGCAAAACCTAGGCTATTTCTGACTAGATTGCCTCATAGCAGTGGGTGCCACTCAGCATTGTTTGGCTTCTGTCTGATTAAATGCAAATGGCTGGCTAAGAATCTTGTCTCATACTTGTCGCAACTGCGGGTAAGCAACTGATTATTAATTCTGATTAGTCATTACTGATGCTTCATAAATGTACTGCTGCACAAAGCACAGGAGGAGATGTGCACCCTTCACTTCAGTCATGGGCTTCATAATTTTGATGGCGTGTTGTGAAGAAGTGGCTTCAAATACTTCTCATAGGCTGGGCTCATCTGTTCAGAAAGAGAATGTGGGAGGGAATTAATAGTAATTAAGAAGAAGGAAAAGGCTATAATTTTTTCCTTAAGAATAATCTTTTAAATATAGAAAGCTAGACTCTCTTAAAAAATCCTGAGCAGCCAGCTGCTTCAGCTATGCAAGATCTCTT